ATTCCTTTCTCACTAAATCACTAATGTTCTAATATCGTATGACAACGTTCTTGCAAGTAGGCGTATATGTAATTGCATTTGGCTAATTCATTCTCCAAGATGAGTAGATTCAAGGAACCTAAAAGTAGAAACCAAGAGGCCTCATGCCCTGATGCAGCAGTACCAGCAAAAACCAGCTACGCTACAAAGTAGGCTACAAAACAGTTTGGCAGATAAGAATGGCAGAGTTCACGTAAAAAATATCATTGCTCCTAAAGAAGAATCAAATTTGAAATTCCAGGGTAAAGAGTTCTTTCAAGATCTAGGTAAAAGTCTAGAGGAAATGATTGCGGAATCCTTAAACTTTTGGTTAGTTATAGTTCCATTTATTTTGTGTTAAATTTGTTTTTTTTTTAATGTGTTTTTTTTTCCAGGAAAAATTGGATCTGATAAAAACTCTAATGAATAAAAGATTAGTGTTTTATGAGATTTAAAACTATTAATGTTTAATTCATCAATAGTTTTAAATCCCTTCAAAACCTCATGAATAATTCATAAGCCTTTGGTCCAATTGGAGCCACCATACACATCACATGCATGGACCTTTATAGTCCTCTTCATTAGTATTCTTTATATAAAGAATACTAAGGACGACTTTATCAGAGATAAAGGTATATCCAAATTTAGATGAAGACTTAGAGCCTCATCAAGGTCTGTCTCACATACAATCACCGATGACCCACAAAATCTAAGTGACTAGCAATCCTGTCTTGAGACTAGCATGCTGTCTTTAAAATGTGGGAGCCTTTATTGGGAATGACTGCACATGATAGTGACATATAAACCTCAACTGCACATGACAGGTACATACAAACTGCTATTGCGATGTATAAAAGTCCATGCTTGTGATGTGTATAATGGTTCCAGTTGAACCAAAATCTTATCTAAAATTGTTCATGAGTTTTTGAAGCAATTTAAAAAACTCGTAGATCGTGTTTTATCAGGTCTAAAACCAATCGGCTACGCCTCGTTGTTTTATACCTGATAAAACACTCCTACTCGTTTTTTAAACACTACATAAAAATACTAATCTTTGATTCATAGAGTTTTTTGACAGTCTTGATCTCCCCTCCATCTCTCTCTTCTTGGTTTATTATTGCTACATAAAAACAATGTCACATGTTCTTATCCATTGCCATGATTGGCTTGCTACACTAATGAATATTTATGCATTTTCTTATGACTAATAATGATGTCTACAGAGGAATATTTAAGTCTGTATTGCTTAATTACCTTCAATCAATGCAGGCTAAGAATATAATGGAAAGTACTTTTTAAAATATTCACCAGATTAAGAAAGTATTAATTTTGATCAAATTTAGTTAAATTATTTTCCAGGTATATAAACCATCTTTGCACAACAGCTCTTTTAGACAGTTCTTTTGTAATTCCTTTTGAGAGTGTGATAAGTGCTCAGCTTGTGATTGTGACAGTCCATATTTGCTGTGAGCCACAACAGGAAGACACTCCTCATTACTAACCGATGGTATGTTGAAGGCAACAGTAGGTTGGTACTGCACCATGGTAGCAGTAAACTCTCCTTTTTGTGTAGTATTTAATAACTTACAGATGTTGTGTAAACATCCTGGTAATATAGGACCAGTTACTTCAAGGCTGAATAGCTAAAACAAAAAAATACATTCAACAATGTAAGGATTTCGGATGAAACGTGTAGATTTGATAAAACATGACGCTGCAGCTATAACTAGTGATATGATTATGAAAGTGAAACAACGTCATGTATCAAGTCTATGCATTTTATNGTTGAAGGCAACAGTAGGTTGGTACTGCACCATGGTAGCAGTAAACTCTCCTTTTTGTGTAGTATTTAACAACTTACAGATGTTGTGTAAACATCCTGGTAATATAGGACCAGTTACTTCAAGGCTGAATAGCTAAAACARWAAAATACATWCAACAATGTAAGGATTTCGGATRAAAYGTGTAGATTTGATAAAACATGACGCTGCAGCTATAACTAGTGATATGATTATGAAAGTGAAACAACGTCATGTATCAAGTCTATGCATTTTATACGAAATCCTTACATTCAATATCATGTCAAAATGCGAAAGCCTTGAAGATGCTACAGTAAATTCAACAATGAATTTTCAAGTGGTTTACAGTGCTGGGAATAAGGATGAAGGATCATTGCTTCTCAACTTTCAGCACACAGGTAAACCATACATAGAAAACTATAGCTGAGTGTCAGGAATATTTTAGATGGAACTACATATGTATAATGCCTCATTGTCTTTAAACACAAGATATTCCACAATGAAAAACCCAATGATGTCCCAAAATAAGCCTTTTGCAATAACGTCACATGATCCGCCCCATTTTGAAATGAGAAGTTGTGTCAAAATGGACATAAATGGAAAGAGCACCTCATTATTACTAAGAGCTTTCATGTTATACTAACCTGTTTCATTTCTTTTGTTCTCTGGTGCCTCACAATTCCTTGATGAACTTTATGAGATCTTAGGGTAGCACCTTCAAAGGCAACAGGTGAGATAAGTGTTRGAGGGACACCAGCAAGCTGACCATTCTTAGGGGTWATACTTCTCCAGTTYAAGATAAAATTATACAAAGCTTGTGTGTCACTGCCTTGAACAACAACAGTAGAGTTTGGATGTTGATCAGTGTTTCTGGTTTTTGCCATTTGGATATTGTTCTTGTGTGATTCTAAAGTGGCAAACTGTTCTTCGTTTAGACCCATGCTCTGTAGCCAGTCTTCTTCATCCTCCCACTCCTGTGCATCAACTTTTTCATCATGGTCATTATCTTCAGCTTCTGAATCAGAGTCAGACATGTTGGACTCTTCATTCTGACCATGAGGCAGAGTGTATTCAATCCCTGGAAATAAAGTACAATAAGTACATGCCACATATATTTCTACA